CCCCAAAACCCCAAAACCCCAAAACCCCGAAAGAGTGAATGTTTAAGATCATTTGAATTTGAATTCTTTAATAAAATAATTATAATAATGATTCTTAATCATTTTATTTACTTAACATTAACATATTCGTCTGCATTTTTATAGATAGCAAGCTCATGTATTCAAACTAGATACCATCAAGTGACCTAGGCTAGTCGGCTTCTCATTTCCTCAGATCAGCTACTGTTTTCCAAGTGTTTCTCACATATTGTATAATCTTCATCTTTTACCAATCTACTGTATAAACACTTCCTGTGACTTATTCATACACAGTTGGCATCTGGAACAAAAATAGCTCTAGAGTTGGTTGATGGTCTGCAGGCTTGATTGATTTTTTATTGCAGTTCAATACATGCGCGTCCTTCATAAATCTCCCATTGAAGCCTCCAAAGATTAAAATTTCATTGTTATTCATTTAAGCTACCCCTAAGCCTTGTCTGGCAGGAAACTTCTCTGCAGGGAAATTAATTACTTCCCAGCCTTTAGCTTTATTTTGATTGTCGTATCTCTCGATAGAATTAATATATTTCTTTGACTAATTTTAAATTCCACAGAATACATACACGAATCTGTCAAGGAAGGAGCAACTAGCGTGGTAATGTCTACCCTCATTTAGATTTGGGATGTCAAACCATACATCGATATCTACATTGTAGCACTCAGCTCTGATCTGAGCCTAATCTGTCTCTTTTCTTGAGCCTGTTACAATGATGAATTTTTCACCAAGTGAGCATGCTGAATGGCCATGTCTGGGATACTTTAATTTATCTTTAGGGAGGAGCAAGCACTTGTCATCGTCAAGGAAGACCTCACTGCATTCGAACATAGATTCTGGCACCTTATTAAAGTCTCCACCTCCAATCAGAAATAGTCTTCCAGAAGGAGTCTAAACTGATTAGAAGTTGTGAGGGAAGGCACTTGCTGACTCTACAGTTCTCTTGCGAAGGGTTTAGGTTTAGATTTCATACTCATGAATGAATTTTGAATCACGCTCGAAAATGAACAAACTCTTAATCAAAGCATTAACTTAGCTTGATTGAGCGTTTGGCTAAAACTCAGCCATTACCTGATCATTTTCAGCCTCATCTCCTTTACCATCTCTTTGACATTCTCCTCTAGCCTTGTGGCACTTGAGTTTTCTCAAAGCCATAGATTTTAGGCAGTCATTGCATTTAAATCTGAGCTCTTGCAATAGATTATATAGGAATTTGTGCATTGGAAGTTGCTTTGAGATTTTTTGGCAGATCATGCACATAAATGTATAGTTTGCTGTATCGATCTAAGGATTATTCTTGACTTTAGCGAAATCTTCAAGACAGCTCATGCATGCTCTAGATTTACAGGATGGACATTCAAGAATGTTATCCTTCATAATTAGGCACACAGGGCAGTCATAGTAGTCTAGAAACTGCTCTAACTTGGTCTTCTTATCATAATTCTCTTTCTTTAAGCGAACTACAGATATCATTTTATGCAAAAAATTTATACTTAATATTCAAAAGCAAAATTAATCAACTCTGATATAGGAAAAATTTAGTCTTAATTCAAAATGTATGATAAACTTACGAAATTCTCTCAAATATATGATTCCTAACACATTTAAAAGCTCGGGGTTTTGGGGTTTTGGGGTTTTGGGGTTTTGGGG